CGTCTGTAACCCCTCAGAAGCTTCTATCCTGAGCACCTAGGACAGTGCCTGGTACATAAACAGTGCTCGATAAATATTTGTTGAATGAGTTGTCACCTTTACTTGCATATGAACCAGTAACTGCCCCCGCCGTGAAGGAGTGAAGAACTGGGGGGAGATAAAGGGGTTGTTCTTAGGGCGGCTGAAGGTCAGGCTGGAGTCTCAGGCAGCAACTCTTGCAAAGAGGAGGCCTAGGAGCCAGACTGTCCAGCCGCACTCTCTCTCCTCCCTCCTTCTGGCTACATGCATCTCATGGAGGGCGGAGAAGAGGAGGAATGAGTTTGCTTCTGTCCCTCCCGCACTGGCCTCCCTGTCAGGTGGATCCCGCAAGAGTCAGCCAGAGGGAGTCCTTGGTACAGCTGCCACGGGTCCTCGTCTGGGGGACCGGGGTGTGCGGTGGGCCCTGGCATCTGGCCTCCCAGCTGGAGGCTCATTCCCTCTCCCCGGGCACACTGGCCACTGGCCCACAGCACACGCCAGAAACTGCCGCCAAAATGGTGAGGAGAGGCCTCAAGGCTGACCACACCCTGTACAAGACAGATCCTTCTCTCTTCCTGCCCCCAGCCCAGTACCGGAGACGGACACCAGGCCCGGGCCTACACAGGGCCCTGTGTGTCCTGGACTGTCCTACCCAGCCCCCTCATCCACCCTCCCCACCCATGCCAAGCACTTCAGCTGAAGGCCACCATGTGCTCACTGTAGGGGCCTCCTGGGGCCTCGGCATCGGCCTGGGGACAAGGTGGGGAGGGCCAAGCCGACAGTGTGGCACGGGACTTGGCACCACGCTAAGGCTCACCCGGGAAACCATTCCCATCCTCTCTCCATCTCTGTCCTCATTCAGCCCTGCCGCTTCTTTCCCTTCCTTTCCTAGGACCTCCCTTCCTGCTCCTCCCGCTTCCCGACCTCCCCAGACACTGCCCAGACCTGCTCTCTGTCCCAGCCTGCCCCGTCCCCCAGGGAGCCAAGGTGCCTCGCCCCATCTCTTGTCATCTTGTCTTTGGCTTGGACAGGGTGGTTCGTCTCCATGGGACCGCAAAGGGCACCCATAGCAGGGACCACAGCCCCGGGCACAGCGGGGGCCATGGGGGGGTGGCTGACGGGGAGGGGATGATGGCAGGTGCTGTCCTTGGCGTCAAGGAGGGTGGGAAGAGGCAGTGCCCCTCTGCTCCTCACCTCTCGTCCTAACCTAAGATGGTCCAGAGCATCTTCCCCACCAGGGTGTCCTCTCCATCAGGGAATGTTGCAGTAGGACCATCACACCCCAGCCATCAGGCCTGGGCGCCCTGTGACGTGGGCATCGGATGGGATGCTTTCTGCTCCATCTCAGGCCCAGGCTCAGGACCGGAGGGACCTGTCGGAGCAGCGAGGGCTTTGGGGCCGAAGCATCCGTGCTCCGTCCTCCGCCGGCAGCAGCCCTGGCCCGCAGGCTGGCTCTTCGCAGTTTTCCCAGGAGAGCAGGGGGGCTGGGCCGGGAGGGGCCGGGGTTCGCGGAGGGCTTCAGAAGGTGGCTCTGTGGAGCTTCGCGGCGGTGGCCTCCGCCAGGGCTTGCACTAAAGAAGAGGGACATCGGTAAGAAAGGGGCCACACAGGGCAGACTCCAGACACTTCTCCCAGGAGCGAGACTCTCAGACCTTGAGGGCCTGCCCCTCCCTCACCCCGAGAAGGAGAAACAGACCGCAGTCAAGTGCTCTCGGCTCGCCTGGCACTGGGTGCCCTGAGCTGGGGGAAATGACGGGGCACGGCCTTGGCTAGAGAGCCTGGCGTTATTTGAATTTACAGTGAGGTCTGGGATCAGTAAGATCTGGGGGAAACGGCTCTGGGTGCTCCTGAGGCTGGGAACCTCACAGGAGCTACAGGGGAGGGTGTCTGGGAAGTCCCCTCTGGATAGTGGACGAGGGAGGCCTCAGCTCTGTTCCATCTGCTTCCGGAGAAGCAAAGCCCATGGCATTGGCGTGGCAGCTCCAAGCAGCCGCCCTGCCAGCTGGCCCCAGTCCAGCACAGACACCGGGACCCAGCACGGGGCACCGGGACCCAGCACAGGGACACCGGGCTCAAGCATTGGGGTCTGGGGGGAGAGCGGCCAGGCACCGGGCAGAGGGGAGAAGCCATGCCGGAATGAGAGGGTGCAGATGGCTCAATGAGGGTGAGGGCAGGGGTCCCCCTCCCTGGGGTGGAGGAAATACAGTAGAAAAGTGCTTACGTCCAAACTCAGACCCGCATGGCATGGCTGCTGTCGGTGCCCCGTGGGGATTCAGACGAGAGGGGGTTGGCTGGTGAAGTCGGGGAGGCAGGGGAGGTGGGAGGGCTTGGGGTGGCGCATTGCACTGGAAACAGAAATGAACAGGGAGGTGAATGGGGGCGGGGGGGGGGGGCGGGGAGCAGGCAGGTCTTGCCCCAGAGGGCTGAGAGCAGGGCAGGCGACAAGCAGAGAGAACAGTGGAGCCTGGGGACCTGCCCAAGCTGAGGCAGAATGGCCTATGGGGCTCTGGGGCGGAGAACATGGTCCCGGGGTAGACCTGGCCAAATCCAGGCTCTGCTGGGACCCAGTGTGGCTGCGGCTGGGCCAGGCCTGGCCTCCGGGCCCAAGGCTCCCCTCCCACCAACAACGACAACGGGGAATTGGCACAAACCTCCATAATGTGCACAGGGAATGGGGTGGCACCTTTCTAGGGGGATAGCGCTCTGCTAATGATTAGCAGCGCCGGAAAGTCACTAATCCAGACCACCGCCCCCCTTATGATGATCGAAGTGAGGTGATCACCATGTTAACTGATTCCTTTAAAATGGAGGCTTCTGAGAGGCTGAGAGCGAGTTCTGGTAACTGTGCCCTGCCCTAGCTTGTTTGGCTCAGTGGAAAGAGCATCGGCCTGTGGACGGAAGGGTCCCAGGTTCGATTCCAGTCAAGGGCACATGCCCGGGTTGCGGGCTCGGAGATTCTCTCTCATCATGGAAGTTTCTATCTCCCTCTCCCTTCCTCTCTGAAATCAATAAAAACGTATTTTTTTAAAAAAGGAAAGAAATGTGTGCCCTGCTGGTTGAGACTCTGTGCACAATCCAGCGAAGGCAAACTGCCATCAACCCCTGAACAAATCCACGAGCCCTAAGGTGCTGACTTTGAATCAATGAGATTTTACTCTATTATCATCATTATTCCATGTTGAGAACAACGAGACGTTGCATTGTTAGGGACCAGCTCTATGCAATCCTGGCCCTTGTGCACCCGCGGCCCAGCTGCGCGGCCGGAGGGAGCAGAGCAAATGTCCTCACTGCGGCTCAGAGCACAGCCAGATCCTGCCAGGGTCTCACGTTTACTCTGAGAGGGATCTTGGCATTAAACTTCTGCTCCCTGCTCCCCCCCTACCCTGGACCTCGTCACCTTCCCTGCCCTGTGCAGGAGACAGGGCCAGCGCACCGCCCATCACCTATGTGCACACCCCCACACATGTACTGGAGCAGGAAGTCGCGTCTGCCCACACACAGCACGGACTTTGTGCATGGGATGCAGCTAAACTGTATCCTTCCTTACTGCACACAACTCAGATTCCTGTGTGTGTGTGTGTGTGCGCGCGCATGACTCAGCACACCTATAACTTCACATTCAAACGCATTCACGGATGCTTTCGAAACACACATTCCTGTGCATGTCTGCATCGCATGGTGAGCTCTGGCAGCTCGGTTTCTAAAACAATCAAAAACTCAAAAGCTAAGCAAGGACCGGCTCAAGGAAGCCAAATGGATGTTACAATGTACGCAGGGAGTTCTTCGAGCTCCTCGGGGAGGCGCTCCTTCGAGTCCAGGGACCCTGAGTTACGCACAACTCGAAGGTGCTGACTGGCTGGGGTTCCAGCCAGTGGGAGGGTGAAAACAAGAAAATTAGAAAAGAAAGAGTAATTGAGGGACCCATGACATCCATAAGAAGGCCCAACCGAAGAGATGGCAGAAAGTAGACATAACTTTAAAAGTGTGACAGCTTGGGGGCGTTTAACGTAGCTACAAACAGGTCTGAACCATTTGAAACCCCTCAGGGCAACCCTTGACAGAGGCCAGCTAAGTAAGGCTATTTTTAATGACACTAAAGCAGTAAGAGCAAGCAAGACTAGCCGAAACCGGTTTGGCTCAGTGGATAGAGCGTCAGCCTGCGGACTGAAGGGTCCCAGGTTCGATTCCGGTCAAGGGCATGTACCTAGGTTGCGGGCACATCCCCCGTCGGAGATGTGCAGGAGGCAGCTGATCGATGTCTCTCTCTCATCGATGTTTCTAACTCTCTCTCTCCCTTCCTCTCTGTAAAAAATCAATAAAATATATTAAAAAAAAAAGAGCAAGCAAGACTAATTATGTCAAATAGAACCTTTTTAAAAAGGCAGAGAAATACTAAATATATAATAGAAATACAGCCATTGAACTAAAGCTCACATATGCAGCAGGTATGTACTGGACAGACGAGGTATTATAATTGTGCTCACAAGTCCTGCCACATCTGCACGCACCGATAACCAGTCACACACACTCACATTCATGAGACCTCCCCCCCCACCCCACACAGACAGATGTTCACAAATATTGCAATATATACACCGTGCACAAAACATACACAAACGTTTTTATCATCCCCCGTTCTGCAAACAAAGCCAAGCACACACGAACACGTGCATAAAAGCTACCCCCACCCTGTATTGGGCCCCCTAGACACATACCTACACGCCGACAGCTCACCACATACACCTGTGCTCATACATAACCGGTCTCCACACAACACCCGGAGACATTCTGCACACACGTACACACATACACACACACTCCTATATTTGTACTCAAACATTCCCTCCCCCACACACCGCACACTGGAATACACACAAATACATGCGCATCTACAAACAGTACTGATTCAGACACTGTCCATGACCTCATGCCATGTCCACGACCTGAAAACTGCCACGCCTTCTGCCACAGTGCGGACTTGTGTCCACGCTCACCGGGTGTTGGTGCCCAAGCTGCCACACTCGTCACTGACCACACCATCCGTGCCGCACACCCACACTCAGGCACTGTCCTCACGCCCATGCCCAGCACCCCATGCACACAGGCCCCCAGCATGGACGTTGCCCACACTATGTGTGCCCAGGGACAATCCTTGCTGTGCCTGGCAGATCAGCCGCTCTGGGCACCTGGACCGTAGACTACGGGTGGTGGGGACAGTGGGCAAAGTCTGAGGTCTGGCCTTCCACAGCCATTTTTTAAACAGTTGGGGTTTGGGCAAAACCCAGGGACCGTGTGCTCTCAGTGCACAGGCCCTGAAGTGTAAGCGTGTGTGTGTGTGTGGAGGGAACCTGAGAGGCCCGGCTGGTTTTGTTTCCCGGGGACCTCTGGCTGGGGAACTGTAGGAGAGAGAGCCAGGGGCTGGGGCAGCGGCGGAGGGAAGGATTCAGAACAATATTGTGTGCTCTAACCTCGAAACAGGAAGTTTCCCTTTGCCCAGAGCGGGTGGAATTTGATCTTTGGAGGGTTCAAGTTCCTTTTACAGCTGAACTGCAGCAAGGTCTGACCGGGACCTCCTGGCAGCCAAACTGGTTCTGCTGCCTCTGGCTACAGCATTTCCCTTGCCCTCAACTCCAGCCCAAAGGTAGCCTCTCTCTGAAGTATCTCCAGGGGCTTCCGCAGGACACCCGGCTAATGTCCACGACACCCCAAGTGCCAGTAGGTTCTTCCTTACATCCTTATTGTACCCTAAAAGCTGCTGGTTTCTGAAAAGATCCATATTGAAAATAGCTACAAAAACACAAATGGCTCCTATTCCTATGTCAGCCATTGCTATTTCAACGAGCACTAACTACGACCATCACCACCCCCACTACTACCCCAGCTGGCAGGAGCTTACTGAGCACATACTGAGTGCCTGGCCCTGTGCTAGGGGCCTAGCGCACACTGTGTCCGTCCCTCACACCACCACACAGGTGTCTCCATTTGAATTTTACAGAGGAGGGGCTGGAGCCTCAGGTAGCCAGAACTCAAACCCTCGTAAACGCCGCCATGAAACGCCATCCCCTCCACTGACTCCCACCCGGCTGCTGTACCTGCGGCCTGTGCCCTGTCACTGCTTCCTGGACCAAAGTCATCAAACCCGGCATCTTTCCAGGGCATCCCTCCTGACGGGCCCCAAAGCCCCCTCTGTTCCTCTCCCTCTCCATCCTAACCACCTTGTCTTGAGGGGAGACAACAGTTCATCTTCCAGCCTTCATGGCTCAACACTGTCTCTCCTCCACCATTCGTGCTCCCGTTCAGAAAGAATCCCTTTAATTCTTCCCGCCTTCACTCATCTCGTTCTTGCCTATTATACTCTCGTCTCCTCCGGGCGATGTCTCAGGCCAAGGAGAACGAGTTCTGTTGACTTTGACCTCACGGTGTCCATCTGGGACCTGCTGCCCTTGGACCCGTGTGAGTCAGCTCCTCAGACTCATCTTTTCTTAGCAGAAACATGGGCTGGGTCAGTAGCCCACGTGGTGACTGTCGGCACGTTCAGCTCCTTGGTTGCCCGCACGCTAGTTCTCATTCTTCCTCTCCGCGTGCAGCCAGAAGGGGAAGTGAGCCCTCGCCGGCTTGGCTCAGTGGATAGAGCCTCAGCCCGAAGGCCGAAGGGTCTGGGTTTGATTCAGGTCAAAGGCACGTATCTTGGACACAGGCTCAATGCAGGAGGCAACCATAGGTGTGTCTCTCTCACATCAATGTTTCTCTCTCTCCCTCTCTCTCTGTGTCTCTCCCCTTCCCTTCCACTCTCTCTAAAAATCAATGGAAAAATATCCTTGGGTGAGGATTAACAAAGGAAAAAAAAAAAAGAAGGAGAAGGGAAGGGTACTCTGGAATACCCGGCCCTCACCCCTCAACTGGTAAATACTTTGATCTTTCCCAGTCAAGACAGTTGTCACCTTTCTCTGTGCTTCCCAACCTGCCCAGGTAGAGGGGCTCCCTGTGCTCCCTGCATGGCCATGGCCATCCCGCCATACGGAGTGAGGAGGGTCGTCATGGCTCTGCGCTCCTGCACCAGCAACTACGGCCTCTGTGCGCCCTGAGCCTAGCACAGTGCCTGGTGCCCAGTAAATGCTCATCCTGCCGCGCCCTGTTCCTCTCTAGCCCTGACCCCTGACAGCGCTGTGCCTCCTCCCCTACGTGGTCAGCCGTCTCCCTGGCGGAGCGAGGCCCAGCCCCTCTCACCAGACAGCATGCGGCCCCTGCGGGAGGCCTCGGTCGCCAGGGCGCAGGAGATTTCAATCCGCTTCTCCTGCTCCTGCAGCTGGCTCTCTGAGTCCTGGGGCACGTCCACAAGGTCCCCCTCGCCGGCGGGCACCACGTTCTGCATACTGAGGAGGCACAGACACAGACATGGTGGGGGGACAGGATGTCCTGTGGGGGGACCTGTGGACTGAGGTTGGTGGGGGGGTGGGTAAGGGCATGTGCAGGCTCTGGTCCCCAGCAAGGCTGTCCCCAGAGATGAGGAGCCCTGGCAAAATGCATGTTGGGACCCTTACCCATGATGCTTTAAAATGAATTAGAAGGTTCAAGTGCACGTTTAGGGCTGCCTGGGAGGGGAGAAGTCACAGAGGCAGCCCCTCGGTGTGTCTGGATGAGAGCATGTGCGTGAGCTCACGGTGCTCTGGCCACCCACGGGCAGCTCCTTGCCCCACTGGAGGGCCAGGCCCAGATCGCTGCCCTGAGCCACTGCCTCCATTCGCTCCACTCTGGGGGAGCCTGGGGTCCCCTCGAACATGGGTTGGAGTGCTGGTGTCCTCGGTGCCAGGGGGGCAGAAAAACCGGAGGTTCCCCCAGGCCAGTTACCTGGACTTGGCAATGAGCGTCTTGATCCTTTCCACCTTCTTCTGCTTCTCCTTCAGCTCCTCGGGGCTCAGGGGTGTGTCCGGCTCCAGGTCGATGTACCGCTCAGGGATGAGGACTTTGTCGGGGGTGGAGAGCTATGGAGGGACTGCGGTCATCTCTCCCTCTGTCCCTCCCAGGGCCTCCGCCCGCCCTGCCCCCTGGGCTCTGCTCACCTCCTTGTTGATGTCCACGTCGTAGTGCTGGGGCTCCAGCTCCATCTTGCGAAGCCGGGCGATCTCCTCCCTCGGCGTCTCGTAGGCCTGCCCGCCAGGCTCCTCTGCCCGCAGGGCGGCCTCCAGGTTGGAGATGTCCACCTCATGGATGCTGCGGTGACGACGCACCTGGGGACGTGGGCACCTCCACTTCTACCTGTGCCTCCGGGGAGCCCTAACCATGCGTGCCCCCGCTGTCCCTGCCCGGCTCGCTGCCACCCCATGGCTCCCACTGCAGAGCCACCCTGCCTACTGCCTGCCCGAAGCCTGCCAGTCTGCCAGGACCCGGAGGCAAGACTTCATCAACATTTCTCACCAGCATTCGTCCCCCCGCCCGCTGTGCCCTTTGTTCGCCTCTTGTGGCATACATTTGGGCAGTTGGTTCAGTGTCTTACACTCAGTGTCTCTAATCATTTCCTATTATTATGCAAGTTCCAATCCACCAACTGGAATGTAAACTGTCGGAGGGGAGGGTTTATGAGTCACAATTTTTGCGTATTTCAGAAAGAAAAATCAGGCAGATGCCTTGGGCTCCTCCCAGCTCTGCGCTTAATGGCTGTGTGGCCAGGACTCCCTTAATTTCTCGTGGCTTGGTTTCTCTCTCTCTAAGGATAATAGTTCCTAACCCCGAGTTATTGAAAGGACTAGACCAGCGGTTCTCAACCTGTGGGTCATGACCCCTTTGGCAGTCGGACGACCCTTTCACAGGGGTTGCCTAAGACCATCCTGCATATCAGATATTTACATTATGATTCATAACAGTAGCAACATGACAGTTATGAAGTAGCCACGAAAATAATTTTATGGTTGGGTCACAACATGAGGAACTGTATTTAAAGGGCCAGAAGGTTGAGAACCACTGGACTAGATGGAGAACGTGAAAGGGACTGGGAACTGGACTGCGCCATGCAACGCTGAGCTGGCACGATGATCGTCAGGACACTCAGCCCAGTGCCAAGCCCACAGCAAGTGCTCTGGAAACGGTTGTGAGTGGTGGCCACTTGTGGGCGGTGGATTGCATACTGCCCTCTGGTAACTGAATGGTATGTAATTTGTTTCAACCAAGACAATCAAGGCATTCCGTGGGTGAGTGAGTTTTCTTTAAACACAAAGGAAACACCCAGCCCGACTGGCGTGGCTCAGTGGTGGAGTGTTGACCAATGAACCAGGAGGTCACGATTGGATTCCCAGTCAGGGCACATGCCAGGGTTGTGGGCTCAATCCAATGTGGGCATGCAGAAGGCAGGGGATCAATGATTCTCTCTCATCTTTGATGTCTCTCTCATCATTGATCTCTCTCTCTCTCTCTCTCTCTCTCTCTCTCTCTCTCTTATTTCCTCTATTTCTCTCCCTTTCTTTCTGAAATCAATACAAATATATGAAAAAAAAGAAAAAAGGAAAGGCCTGTAGCAGGATTGATCTCCTTGCCCGGTGGGCAGAAGCCTCCCAGGTCTCCCAGTGCCCAGCTTAGGTCCTCCCCGCCCTCCCTCTCTAAGCCCCAGCCTACCCCCAGGACTCCAGCCCAGGCTGGCCGCACCCGCACCCGGGAGTAGGCGGTGGTGACCACTGTCAGGCCACGCATGGGGGTGGCTGGGAGGACCTACCACTTTGTAGGCTGGCCGGGGGCTGGGGTCGGGGGCAGGGCTTGCAGGAAGCTGCAGGCTCCTCCGCTTCTCCTTCATGGAGCCGCTCTGGTGGCGCCGCATGCGGTCGATCTGCTCCTCCACGCTCATCTTCACCTTGCCCTCGCCCGGGAACACCGCGCTCTTGGGGCGCTCCTGCTGCGGGGGGAGGCGAGGCTCTGAGAGGCGCAGGTCCTCCACCAGCCTTTTCAGCTGCCCTAAGGTTTCCCTTCCTTGGGAAGCTTGCCTGCAGTCAATGGAATAGCGGTCCCCGGAAGCTATGTCCAAGTCCTGACCCCCAGGACCTGGGAGTGTGACCTTATTTGGAAATGGGGTCTTTGCAGGTGTGATTAAATTAAGGGTCTCGAGATCATCCTGAATCAGGGCCACCCTAAAATCAATAATGGGTGTCCTCATGGGAGACAAGAAGACACAAGGAAGAAGTGATGTGAAGGTGGGGGCAGAGACTGGAGTGATGTGTCTACAAGCCAAGGACACCAAGCAACAACCATCTGCTGTGGTGGGGGTGCGGGGCGTGGCTGGACCTCCAGTGCAGACTTCTGGCCTCCAGGACTGTGAGAAAATAAACTTCCGTGGGGTAGCTACCAAGTTCGTGGCATTCTGCTCCTTCTCAGCGGCCCCAGGACTCCGACACACTGCTCTGGCCAGCACACGACTCTGACCACTGGTTTCTGCCACCTCTGTGTCTCATCGTCATAATTTTGTTCAGTACTTTTTTTAAAATCTTTATTGTGCACACATTCCTGTCCCTTGGCACGTCTCCTTGAAGGAGACCCCCTCGGCTGGGGCTGCTGGCCTTCCTGCTTATTCTGTCTTCTGCCTCCAGCCCTGGGTTTCTCGAACAGGAGCGGCAGATGGTGGACACTCAGGGCCCCTGGGTTCCTGGCCTGGCTCAGGCCCGCCAAGCCCCCAGAGCCTGCAAGCACACTTACCCGGGCAGAGAGGCCATTGGGGAGCCCGTTAGCATTCCTCCTCACCACCCCAGAGGGGGTCACCTCTTCCTCAGCAGGCGACTTTGTCCGCGGGGGCACAATGCCAACTGCAGGGAGACAGAGCAGCCAGTGGGCCTCGTGGAGAGAGGAAGGGGGAGAGACGGGGCGGGGCTGCTTCTCAGAGAGGCTCGGTCTCAACCCCCCCACCCCCCTTCTGTGGAGAAGACCAGCCTGGCAGGTGAGCACTCCATAGGTATGAGTGAGCTCCGCCCTACACTCCTCTCTGACCCTGAGCCTTACTTCTCAGGGAAGGTGGGGCAGGAGGTACCTTTGTTGAGAGCTGTCTGCTTGTCTGCCTCCACCTCTTGCCGGGTAGGCACGAGGCTGATGTCCCTAGACGTGTCCGGGGGTGAAGTCTGGTGGGACTCTCTCTTGCTTGGGTCATAGCTTGCCTTGGGCTGGAAGGAAGGATGAGGAAGTGTTTAATGTGCAAGTGACTGCCAGGAACTAGGCCCCGGTGGTAGTTCTTTGTTTAGCAATGGTTGGCATGCAAACCCTTGACAACCCAGGACAGGGCTATGCTGCGTGTGCCAGCTGTGAAGTGGGCATGGAGGCACTAGGCTGGGCAGGGCGAGGTCCTCGGGGAAGGAGGGCTCACGCCTCCAGGAGGCCCCTCAACCCAGCCAGTCCCCTCGGCAAGCACCAAGAGCGCGGACTCTATGTGAGCCAGAGAGGAGGGCCATCAGGCCAAGGATCGCTGAGGACGCTGTCAGGATCCTACCCAAGATCTGAGCAAAAGAACCAGGCGACCTTTGGGACCAAGACTCTGGGGGCAGGAAAGGGGCACTTAGCTGGTGGCTCATATAATCATGAGACCAGAAGGGACCCCAGCCATCATCTGCTCCATTCTGTGCCTGCCCCCCGCCCCCCTGCACCCCTCCGTGCAGTTGAAGAATCTAAGTCCCAGGGAGGACCACAGAGAAAGAAGCCTAGGCCAGAGCTCGGAAATCTCCACTCCAGCCCCGCTAGAGGGCACGGCAGGTCACACACCCTGCCTTCACCTGTGACATGCAGTGCCGTTCCCGGCCCTGCCCACCTTGCTGGGCAGACCTGCAGGGCTACGCACACACCAGTAGCTGAGACGAGAATACAAGTTTCCCAGTTTCAGGCACAGGACTATTTACTCACCATGCAACCTCTTCCGAGCCTAACTGCAGGCCTCTCCTGGATCTTCGCTAGGGATCCAGGCGAGAGGGGAGGCCAGAACAGGGGAGAGGGGGCCTGTGCCCTTATATTCCAGGGGGAGGTGAGCCCCAGAGAGGACAGAGGCAGAGACAGAGAGAGCAAGGGGAATTGGGGCCTGGGGTGGACAAGGGCAGGACCAGTATGTGTGTGGGGGTCCCTTGATTCCCATCATCTGGTCATGCTGGTAGGGAGGGGGCCATGCCACCACCCATAGCCAGGGGCCCCCAGGAGCCGGGGCACAGGGCAGAGCAGCAACTCACTTCCCCGTTGTCCACAGAAAGCAAAGAGGGGAAAGGGGGCATGTGAGTGTCCCCGCCAGCCCTTTCCTTATTCCAGAGTTTGACCAGACAGAGGGCCCAGCAGAAGTTCAGTGCGGGGGGTGAACACTGGCACGGAGAAGTGACTCCCTGCCCCACCTTGCCCCTCGCCTGGCCTTCTGTCCCATTCCCTCCACCCCTGCCCTCCAGGACCCAAGGGTGCTGGGTACCTGGCCCCTGGCGGTCTCGCCACTGCAGTGCCAGGAAGGGGAGTTGGGGTATGGCCAGAAGTGGCTCTCGCTAGGGAGTGGAGGCACGGTGGGAGGAGACTCCAGGGGCACGTAGGCTTTGGGGAGGGGGGGCCGCGGTGGGCCGGGCTCCTGAGGCAGAGAGAAGCCAGAGCATTAGGAGGAGCGAGAGCAGGCGCTGTGAGAGCAGGAGAAAAGAGCGTTAGCAGAGGCAGGTGCCACCGCGGAGATCCGGGGCCCTGGACCCAAACTCCCACCTGTGGCCTGGACACGGCTGCCTGCAGAGCTGGCGCCCCTCCCCGAGCCACCTGCGTACCACGCCCATCACTCCCCAGCTCTTCTCCAAGGTTCTCTCCTCACTGCCTCACCGTCACTCCGACACCTCCCCACCCTGTCCCTGTGCTCCCCCAGCCCCTCTGCCTGCGACGGCCTGTTCCTCTACCTGTGCGAACGCCTCAGGCCCAGTTCCAGTCCCACCCTCTCTGGAACAGCACAGCATTTACGGTCTGAACCACGTGGTTCAGCACTGAGACACGCAGCGCCACGTGCCTGAGGCTGGTTTGCTGTCTAGCGGCCTCGGTCCCCACTGGGGGCTGGGCTCTCTGAATGGAGGCCGCAGGCATGCAGGGGTGCCCCGACAGGGCCTCCTGCCACCCTCTCCCGCCATAGAGCCGGTAAACACTTGCTGATTGACTGACTAGGAAAGTGTCCCCCAGACCTCACCCTGTCACCCCCTGGATTTAAATTCCGATCAAGTGCTTAGTATCTTTGCTCCCCGTCCTGGTGCTCCGGAAGGAGGCCAGGGAAGCCGGTGAAGACGAGAGCAGGTACAGGAGAAATGGGAGGGTAGATCACACACTGGAGGTGAGAACGGCCCCTCAGGCAGAGGCACTGGGACTGCAGGCCTCTGGGGAGGACGGGGCACAGAATCTGTGTGGTTTCAGGCAAATGAGGACCTGGTCCTCCCTCCCCCATTCACCTTTGACTCCATTTCATCAGCTTACCTCATTGGACCCGGACTTGGTGGGGGAGCCCTGAGAGCCAGACACCAGGGAAAAGGGGCTCAGGGGGCTGGTGAGGCTGGCAGAGCTGAGAGGGCTGGCAGGGCTGTTGGAGCTGTAGGTGGTCGAGGGGCCAAGGCCTCCTTGGGGAAAACAAGAGGGGGAAGATGAGGGTGGGCAGGGGTATGGCCTGGGGTATGGATGGGCAGGATTCAAGGATGTGGGAGGGTCCCCTGAGCCTGCCAGAGGGACTTCTATATGGGCTGGGTCACAGCTGGGAGCTGCGGCACAGGGGAGAGGATGTCAAAGCAAGCCAGCCCTAGGCTGAAGGAGGACACTAAGGTAGAGGCCTCAGACCACCCAGGGGCCCGGGGGTTTCAGGGCCGGGGACGCCCAGCTGCTCTTTGACCTTTTCTGGGGAGAAATCTAGGGCAGTGGTCGGCAAACTGCGGCTTGTGAGTCACATGCGGCTCTTTGGCCCCTTGAGTGTGGCTCTTCCACAAAATACCATGTGCGGACGCGCACGTACAGTGTGATTTGAAACTTTGTGGCCCATGCGCAGAAGTCGGTATTTTGGGAAGAGCCATCTATTTTGAAGAAGTGGAGTTAGAAGAAGTGGGGGGTGTCAGTTGTTCGGGAGACGGGAGATGCGCAGGCAGGCCACGGGATATGCAGCACGATTCATGCACGAGTTGAGTGAGCCAGAGAGTTGGAAGGGGTCGCGCTC